ATGTCATGGCTGCACTGATGTATGTCCTGACTGCACCTGATGTATGTCCTGGCTGCACTCTGGTGTATGTCATGGCTGCACTCAGTGTATGTCCTGGCTGCACTCGGTGTATGTCATGGCTGCACTCAGTGTATGTCCTGGCTGCACTCGGTGTATGTCCTGGCTGCACTTGGTGTATGTCCTGGCTGCACTCGGTGTATGTCCTGGCTGCACTTGGTGTATGTCCTGGCTGCACTCGGTGTATGTCCTGGCTGCACTTGGTGTATGTCCTGGCTGCACTCGGTGTATGTCCTGGCTGCACTCGGTGTATGTCCTGGCTGCACTCGGTGTATGTCCTGGCTGCACTCGGTGTATGTCCTGGCTGCACTTGGTGTATGTCCTGGCTGCACTCGGTGTATGTCCTGGCTGCACTCGGTGTATGTCCTGGCTGCACTCGGTGTATGTCCTGGCTGCACTCGGTGTATGTCCTGGCTGCACTCGGTGTATGTCCTGGCTGCACTTGGTGTATGTCCTGGCTGCACTTGGTGTATGTCCTGGCTGCACTTGGTGTATGTCCTGACTGCACCTGATGCATGTCCTGGCTGCACTCGGTGTATGTCCTGGCTGCACTTGGTGTATGTCCTGGCTGCACTCGGTGTATGTCCTGGCTGCACTTGGTGTATATCCTGGCTGCACTTGGTGTATGTCCTGACTGCGCCTGATGTATGTCCTGGCTGCACTTGGTGTATGTCCTGGCTGCACTTGGTGTATGTCCTGACTCCACATGGTGCATGTCCTGGCTGCACTTGGTGTATGTCCTGACTGCACATGGTGTATATCCTGGCTGCACTTGGTGTATGTCCTGACTGCGCCTGATGTATGTCCTGGCTGCACTTGGTGTATGTCCTGGCTGCACTCGGTGTATGTCCTGGCTGCACTTGGTGTATGTCCTGGCTGCACTTGGTGTATGTCCTGGCTGCACTTGGTGTATGTCCTGGCTGCACTTGGTGTATGTCCTGGCTGCACTTGGTGTATGTCCTGACTCCACATGGTGCATGTCCTGTCTGCACATGGTGTATGTCCTGGCTGCACTTGGTGTATGTTCTGACTCCACATGGTGCATGTCCTGTCTGCACTTGGTGTATGTCCTGACTGCACATGGTGTATGTCCTGGTTGCACCCGGTGTATGTCCTGGCTGCACATGGTGCATGTCCTGGCTGCACTTGGTGTATGTCCTGACTGCACATGGTGTATATCCTGGCTGCACTTGGTGTATGTCCTGGCTGCACTTGGTGTATGTCCTGGTTGCACCCGATGTATATCCTGACTGCACTCGGTCTATGTCCTGACTGCACTCGGTGTATGTCCTGACTGCACATGGTGTATGTCCTGACTGCACATGGTGTATGTCCTGGCTGCACTTGGTGTATGTCCTGGCTGCACTTGGTGTATGTCCTGGCTGCACTTGGTGTATATCCTGGCTGCACTTGGTGTATGTCCTGACTGCGCCTGATGTATGTCCTGGCTGCACTTGGTGTATGTCCTGGCTGCACTCGGTGTATGTCCTGACTCCACATGGTGCATGTCCTGGCTGCACTTGGTGTATGTCCTGACTGCACATGGTGTATATCCTGA